CTCTCTGCTGCTGCTGAGGTGAATCTGGAGTCCCTTCATATGATGGCTCACCCGCATATGCTGCTGCCCACTTCCATTTTTGTCTCCTGGAGAGAGAGAATTTAAATGAGAACCCCTGGGAGCAAGCACAGCCCAGACGAACCTGCTGAGGCCAAATCTTTTCAATAATCCTGGGCCGCTCCTGGGTCTGAACACCTAGGAGCTGAGCTGGGGAACTGGCCTGGCTGGGAAAAAAAGGTGATGCTGTCTGACATGCCTGTAGCAATGGTGGGCATGAGAGAAGGCTGAGCAAGCACTGAATCACATGAAGATGGCTGAAGGGCACAGATTTGAAGTCTTTCTGCTTCTGTTCTTTATTCAATGCCTGTTTCAGAGGAAAGACATAAAGTTGTTAGGCATGATCCAAAATCTCAGCACTTGCTGCTGTAGTTGGAAAACATATGTGTTAAGTAGTAAATATATACTGGGCTAAAAAAACTTCAAGGCTGGAGAGAAAGAGGACTATCTAAAGGCCAGAACAGTCAGTTAAAAGACTCTTGGGTTCCGTTCCTCTTTCTGCCAGTGATTTACTGCATAGCTCCAGGCAAGACATGTAACTAAGCTGTAATCTTTTCTTCTAGCTGCAGAAGAGCTAATAAAGTAGAGTACAAGGAGGGCCTCTGAAATATGACCAATTCCAGTTTACAGAAAGCCTCAAGATCCTTACTAGGAAACTGATGGAAAAAGGCAAATTATTATAGTATTTCAAATTACTGTTTTTAAGTGCACTTTTCTGTTTCATGTCAGTGTACTAACACTCCTCAAATCAGTGCGTAGAATAACCTCTGGAAACAGAGAAAAACCTAGCCCAGAAGAAATGAGATGTGGTGAGTTGTATGAAACCATAGCAAGAGAGGGTTAATGTGAAGAAGCAAACCCCATTCATTCTTGTTGCTGCATCTGGAGGTACCTCTGGTGGGAGAGTTACTGAGTGTGCCATCAGAGAGCAAACTTCCCCTAAACGGAGGGTAGAAGAGGCTGGAGAAAGCTTGGTGTAAAGAGGAAGTTGAAAGGAGAAGGTGTGAAGGTTGGTCTTGTACAGGTAGAAGAAAAGGAGGATCGTTATTATAGCTGGGCCCTTCTGATATGGCTCTATGGAAGAAGAATGGAGAGGTGGGGAAGACTGAGTGCTTCTTTAGGCTACTATGTTTGGTCCCATTCTTTGAAAAGAAATTGAGACTTGAAGAGTTGCCTGAGAAGTGGAGGGGCAGAGGATCCTGCCTGAGTACCAGAGCTTTGTGGTGCTGCGTGCTCTTTTGGGGAGCTGTGGGATGGGAAATTCTCCCAAAGGTGGGATGAGGTGTGAGCTGACTGCTGGGCAGTGGCAGAAGTGGATTGTGAGACATGGTGCATGGTATGACTTTCCCAGGAAGATCAGAGCTTGGGACACTGAGGGGTGTGCAAGGTGATGGTGCTCCTACTGACTAGTTCCTGTGCTGGCTGAAGCTTTGCAAATCTGCCACATGCAGTTTTATCAATTAGTTAATGTAGTTCCCTTCTGGGTGATAAAGCCCAGCTGATGGAAAAGAAAGAGTTCAGCTTTCTGGCTGCTGGAGGAGGGTGACCCACACCTGCTCTGGGCTTAGAGAATGCCTCAGAACCAGTCAAGAGCATCTGACGATAGCCCTGCAATGAACCCTTAAATGAAACAAGTGTCTAACCTCTGTTCAACTCTCCTGGTTCTTCCTCTTGTCACCTAGTGCTGTCCATCTTTGCTGAGTAGTGGGAAAGCCCTATCTGGATCTGATATGGAGAAGCCAAACTGAGTCTATTGAGATGTTGTTTCTGCCAGGTTGCAACAGCTGCCAGCACATGGACCTGTGGGAACCTGTTAGCAGCTGCTCAAAACCACCTCTGGGTTTCTCACAGAGGTTGCCCAACCACTGAAGAACAGCTCTTCCCACTCCTCTGAATCCACCAGACCTTGTGGTCAGGGTTATGATGTGCAGCTGATGGAACTTGTGGTAATGGGGCAGCTGTGTTTGTCCAGTGCTCAAAGGAAGGAGCATATTAACTGGAGGTGTCCTTGCTGTTACTAGGCCTGAAACTCAAGGGGTGGGATGTTGCTCACCAAAGCTGCTGAAGTAATTCAACCTGGATGGATGCTGAGCTGCCAAGCTGTGACATCCCTAATAAAGGGGAAGCTGGAGGAAGTAAAGTCATGGTTTGTCATTCATGTACAGTTATATCTTGGATCAACAGCTCACTGTGAAGAGTGAAAAGTCGTTATACATGGGGATGCCCAAATCTTTTAAGAGAATATGTCTGAATTTACTAGACTGAATACTGAATCTAGCAATGAGAAAGTTAACTTCTTTCCACACGCCCCTCTGGCCCATGCTGTGTTGGTTGACGTAAATACTTCTCATAACAGGGGTCCATAAGTGAAAGAGAAGAGCTTGCAGTATAAGCTACTTAGTATTGTGATAACTCTGCTAAACATTCATACGCTTCAGGGTACATTGTGTAGCAGTCAGCTAATTTGACTGCGCTTTTTTCAGAATATCTGTTTGTAGGCATTGTGTTAAGGATAACTCTGAGCAAACGGTGCAGAACCAGCCGATACTGGGCTGCAGAGCAGATGAAAACATCAGAGGGTGGAAGAAACTAGCTTTTGCCTGCATGCCTATGTTGACAGAGAGTCAGTTGATCACTGATGCCCCTGTATAGTTTACATCCTACCTGCGTGCCTCCTGCTTCTGTGTGACAGCTATGGGGCTCCTGGGCTGCCTTCTGAGCTTTCTATACCATGGGAGTTCCTAAGAGGAGCATTACTGTAGGCGCTAAGTGGCCGGAGGTGGTGCTGGGGAGCACTCCTCTGGCTCTGGGGCAGCCCAGAAGGCTGTTTTCTGAGCCTCTCTCTGAGTTTGCAGGCTGACTGTGGCCCAGGGAAGGCCAGGCTGAGGTGCTCTGCGTCAGGACCCTACCTGGCAGGGGGAGGCAGCCAGGGCAGGGGCAGCCCTTGCCCTGGAGAGAGGGGTCTACCCCACTCCATAAACCTGGCTAAAATCTGATGCTCTGTCTTAGCAGCGATGCACAGCAGCAGCATAACACTATGGAGGCTTGCCATAACGCCTTTCCCCCACGTGGTTGCCCTCAATGGGGAGCCTGACAGCCTCCCCAAGCTCACAGCCGTGGCTGTGTGTGGGAAGGGGTGTGGAAGTTACAAGGTCCTGTGTGAGGCAGCGGTCATTTATGTGTAACAACCAGCCCCTGGCCTCCTGTGCTGTAATGGTGGTGAGAGGCCAGCTTTTGAGACAGCGTTGCCTTGTTAACCCATTTAAACACCCCCTCCCCCACCCGGGGCTCCGTCCCCTCAGGGAGGAGCCAGGCAGGGTCGGGTAAGCCCGACCCCTGCCGCAGCCCCTCAGCCCCCCTCCCTACTCCCCCGGACGTGGGGGGGTCCCCCG